CCAGCAGGCCCGTGACGATTGGGGTGCGAAGCGAAGGGATGAGTGGGAGAGAGAGAGAGAGAGAGAGATAGACAACCGAGGCATTTTGGAAAGTGCAAAGAAATGCCGCACGTTTTCATGAGGGGTTTTTGTGGCCACACATTTTGTTCATTTTGTAAATTTTTCTTGTTTTATTATTATCAGTATGTTTTTTTTCTTTGTTCCTGTTTCCTTTTTACACGGCATTGGTTTGAGACAGCGGCGGGACGAAGTTACACGCACACATACACACCAAAGATTAAAAGAAACAACAACACATCGTAAGATTATTCTCCAAGCAGGTGCTTTGCAAATGGCGACGGTAAAGGTAAAGTGGGGCAAGGAGCTTCTTGAGATTACGGTCAGCCTTCAGAGCACGGTGGGGGCATTCAAGGAAAAGCTGCTGCAGCTGACACAGGTTCCTGTGGAACGGCAAAAAATTATGGGCCTCAAAGCCAATGCATCCAAGGACGACGCTACGCTCTCCCAAGTTGGTGTCACTGACGGCAAAACGCTGATGCTTCTTGGAGCGGCAGCGGAACCACCACAAACCAAAGAACCACCGCCGTCGCCAGCCGCCGCATCCAACACGACAGCGGTCCAAGCTCCCGCTGCAGCCACGAGGATGCCTACAGGACTGAGAAACATTGCAAATACATGTTACATGAATGCGGCAGTTCAAATGCTTCATCTTGTGCCTGAGTTGATTGAGTTGCTCCAGTCACGTAAAAATGACACGTTGCTTCATTCAATGGGCGAGCTGTACAAGACGATGGAAGCCAATAAAGACCCCGTCACCCCGTTGCTCTTTTGGAATGCCCTGATCATGCAAAATTCAACCTTTGGGGAGGTTGACGAACATGGCCATCCGATGCAGCACGACGCGCAGGAAGTTCTCAACACAATTCTTCAGCAACTTAACAATGGGATTCAAGAAACACACAAAAATCTTTTTAGTGGGACGATGAAACGGACTTCCGTCTGCAAAGAAATCCCCGATGACGTGTCCGAGGCGTCTGACTTGCCATTCCTCATGTTATCTTGCAATATCAATGCAGAGGTACAAATGCTGGAGACTGGATTGTATGCATCCTTTAATGAGACAATCTCCGTCCGTTCGGAAAAGTTGGCACGCGAAGTACTTTACTCACGCACAAGCCGAATCAGCATTTTGCCGGAGTATCTTTTTGTGCATCTTGTGCGTTTTTCATGGAGGGCAGATACTCAAAAGAAGGCCAAAATACTCAAGCCAGTCTCCTTCCCCCTGGTACTAGATACCTTTACTCTCTGTACGGATGCACTAAAGGAAAGCATGCAGGAGGAACGAGGCAGGGTGTTGGCTCGGCGAGACAAGGAGCTTGAGCGACGTCGTCAAGCCCGGCAAAAGACACAATTTGACGTTACCACAAACGCAGAAGAGGTGTCAACTGGGGCGATGGCAGGTGACGCACATAAAATTGGCAATAAGAGTGGTTACTATGAACTTTGTGGTGTAATTTCCCACAAGGGCCGAAGTGCAGAGAGTGGGCACTACGTCTTCTGGGGTAAGCCTGAGGATCAGTGGTTTGTCTACGATGATGAGCACGTGGCCTCCGTGACAGAGGAAGACGTCAAGCGTCTGAGTGGCGTTGGTGAGGCGCACATTGCGTATGTTCTTATGTACCGTTCTAGGGACCCACGTACAAAGGCCACGACGATTCCACTTTGAATTGGAATACGCCAGTTGTTGTTGAAACCTGCACATTTATTAAACCTCCAATAAATGTCTCACTCCGTGAATGTGCAGGTGTGTATGTGTGTACTCTATTGAATGTTAGGTTTTTACTTACACCTTGACGCAAAGCCTTTTTTTGTTGATTTTGCCCCTGGCTAGAATTTAATATATATATATATATATATTCTTTAAATATTTTTTACTGCACAGCTGCTTTTCTCCGCGTATGACTCGGCACATGTTTGCCACCGAACAGCTGTGCTGAGAAAACCGACCCTTGCTTTTTTTTTTGCACTTTTTTGCACCATGGACGATAGAAGTGAGGGTAGCAGCGGCGGAAGTGCTGGAAATGGGAAAGAAAGGACGAAGGGAGTGTTTAAAGAGAAGAAACAAGGTTTTTTTTTTTTTTTTCGCGTTGGCCCTTGGCAAAATAGCAAAGTAAAATGAAACCTTGCCCGAAACCGGGCGTTGTTGTTGTCAGGAGCTTCTGAACGGGTATCTGCTTTGTGGCGGATGACGATGCTAGCAGCGACCTCTTTCTTTTGCTATTGCTGAAGCGCACAACGGAAGCGGAGGCGTTTTAACCGATGCACCGAATTGTAATGCTGGAAACCGATGCAACTGTTAGCATCCGCCACGAAGAGTTCAGTGCAATTGAAGGTGTCGACGAGGTTTGCAAAAGGGACGTTCACAGGGAAGGACAATGTCTGCTCACATGGCATAAATGTACTGTAGGCGCATCACGAAGAGAGAACGCAGAATAAGGGGGAAAAAAATAATTCCGGTTGTTTATTTCCATACCACGAGGAGGACAAGAATTGGTGCATCCGTCCTATCCGAGGGGTATAGCTACCTCAGAGAGGCTGCGAGGGGAACTGTCCACGTGTCAGAACAATGGTGGAGAAAAATGCCTGGCATTGTGATTTCTACTTTTTTTGTTATTATTCTTCTTCTTAGCCCGGAAGTGCTCTTTACAGCCCTGCAGAAAAAAAAAAAAAAGAAGAAATTTTTTTTTTTTTTTTTTGTGGATGCGGATGCGGATGCGGATGATGATGATGACGTTAGCGGCAACTTGCAGCTTCAGCAGATGCTTTTATTACCCCTCTGCGAGTGAGCTGTCCAGCCATCTCCGCAGTGCCGAGCGAGGCACGGGCACCCAAAAACCCATCTCATTGCAATGGGCATCAACATGGTACGGCAAAAAGAATCCTCCTCTAAGCTCGTCAGCGGTTGCAGGGAACTAAAGCCGTGGAGGCATCTTTGCCGGGGACTCCTCCAAGGGTATTCATGGTCTTTTCACGCTCCTTATTTGGATTTGTCACACCCGACCACCAGGGTGATATGAAGAAAGGAGTCGACATCTTCAACGGGAGGTACAACGCCTGTACGATGAGTTGCTTTTCCTCTCAAGTGAGAACCAAACTTTCAAGAACTTTTTTTTAAATTATTGGCAGCTGGCTGTGACGCAGAATTCTCTCCAACAAATGACCATTGATGTTTCTCGAGATCAACCCCAAGACGAGGAGCTGCAAATACGGAAATGCGAAGAACGACCCATTTTATTGCAGGATGAGTCGAATTGAATGATCAGCGAGGTGGCGAAGCAAATTCAGCTTTACGTCACCACTGCCTCACAGGCTTAAAGAATAGACCACGAGAACCTAAGTGAAATGGAAAGGCCCCTGTTGCAGTCGGACACCTCAACGTTGTGCCAGGGTCTAGTACTCTTTGCTAGAGAGGAAGCTAAGTGCCTGCTGCCCATCCGCTGCACGCGGAGAGGCAGGAGGCGCCGCACAAACGGGTCGGAAGGGCAGCAGATGGAGCCATTTACATGGTTGCCCGCGGAGCGGTATTTCCATCCGCTGCTGAATTCCATCGGCACTCTTCAGCGCTATACATACCGTTTGCGTGCCGTATGTGACGCGGAACGACAAAAGCTACTGCTAAGCGGAGACATTGAGCAGAACCCAGGTCCCATAGCAGTACTCCAGATGAACGTTTCTTGCCTCACGCCGTCAAAACTCGCAACATTAATGGCGCAAGGAGCAGACATAATAGCCATCCAGGAGACTTGGAAGTCGTCAGAGCAGATCGCCAGTATGCATACTGGAGATTATGTGCTCTATGCACAGTCGCGCATCGGCAAGGGAGGCGGTGTGGCGGTGCTAGTGCGGAAAACTCTCCGCTCCAAGCGTATACCTCTCACCATCCCCCAGCATGGCACCAGCCTTGAAGTGGTGGTGGTCCAGGTTGCTCTGGACCAGAACCGTGATATTATTGTAGCGAGTGCCTATATGAGACCACCACCGCAAGTAACGCAATCCTTCAGGCGGTTAGTAAACTGCCTTCCAGCCTCGTCGCCGCTCCTGCTGTGCGGGGATTTCAACATGCATCACCCACAGTGGGAGCCATTCTTGGAGTCTTCTCCAAGCGAGGTTGCCGCAGAATTTTTAGAACTGTGCACGGATGCAGGACTCACCTTGGTTAACACCCCTGGTGAGATCACGTATGCTCGTGGCACAGGAGAACGATCCTGTATCGATCTGACATGGTCAAAGCATTTGACTGTGTCAGATTGGTCAGCTTCTGTGTCGCCGCTTAGTGATCATTATATGCTAACATTTACGCTGCATCAGGCATTTATGGATACCATACCTTCGGCACCCCCTTCGGCACCTAGGGCATTCTACAGTTGGGGGAAGTGCAAATGGGATTTATTCATCAAGGACTTCGACGCACAACTTCCGGCATATGACTACAAAAAGCAGTCCACCGGCATTAAAGCTTTCACGAGAGCGCTTATTACTTCGTATCGACGACATTGCCCCCGCGGCATGCACAAGGATGGTCCCAGGCTTTGGGACGACACTCTCATGGAGGCAGAGCGGATTGCTACCGACAGCAAGGCCCGCTATCTACAGTTACCGACGCCCGACCGTGAGGCAGAAACGCAACGGACAAGGAGCCAATTCTTCCTCCTACTCCGAGAGCGCTTGCGCAACACGTATCTACGTCGCATCAGCAAGTTAAATCCAGGCGAACCACTCGCATGGAAACACATTTCCGGACGAAAAAAGGCATCACTTCCATCTCCTACATCATTGTTGTTGGGAGATGGTCAACACACTTATAAAACAGCAAGGAGAGCAGCGAATGCTCTCAATCGCATCTTTTTACCATTTCACCCCTCTCACAAGGCAGTTAGGTTTTCCAAAGGCATCAAAAGACAGAACACATCTTTGAACATTATTTCTTCTTCTCTTTTTGGGCAGCAGAACAACAGCGAGTCTGCCGCTACATCTAGCTTAGTTTCTTCTACCTCTCTTATCTCTTGTATTTCTGAGCCGCAGAATAACAGCGAGTCTGCCGCTACATCTACTTCAGTTTTTTCATTCTCATCTAATTCAGAGCCACAGGATAACAACGAAGCTGCCACCACATCTGGTTTAGTTGCTCATCTTCACTCCCCTCTTGATGCACCTTTTAATCGTACGGAACTGCTTGCTGCGCTACGTAATACGCCGTATGGCAAGGCCCCCGGACCGGATGAAGTCTACAGTGAGGCACTGCGACATATTTCGTCAAAGGGTCTTCGATTCCTTCTTCGTTGCATTAACCACAGCTGGACGACAGGTACTATCCCGGCTGAGTGGAGACGCGCTACCATCGTTCCACTCTTAAAACCCGGTAAGTCGCCGGAACTGCTTGAGTCATATCGACCCATCAGCCTTACTTCCATTGTGAGTAAGGTTGCTGAGAAAATGGTACTGAAGAGATTGCTTTGGGTGTGGACGCCTCACCCCCACCAGTATGCATATCGTAGTATGCGTACCACGACGATGCAGCTGGCACACCTGATACACGAAGTGGAGCATAATAGAAATCATTATTTCCAAGTGGAGCTTCCCAAGAAGAGCGGTATTGGTAATCAACTCCACTACAGACCCCATCGGACTCTGCTGGTGTTGGTTGATTTCAGCAAGGCTTTTGACTCCATAGATCATCGAGTCCTCAGTCGCTTGCTGGCCAATATTCCGGGGGTGAATTGTAGAAGGTGGCTTAGAAACTTTCTATGTGGTCGCTACGCGAAGACACGAGTTGGTAACAGAAACAGTGATCGGCGTCCCATGCTGCGAGGAGTTCCTCAGGGGTCCGTACTGGGACCATATTTGTTCTCCCTTTACGCACACCCACTTCTCAATCTGCTGAACAGCTTTGCGGATTTCACAGCAGACATGTATGCGGACGACCTCTCTATTATCGTTAAGGGGCAGTCCCGGGAAGACGCCATTCCCACTGCCAACATGGTTCTTAAAAAACTGCATGCGTGGAGTCAGGAAAATGGCCTGGCCATTAACCCGTCAAAGTGTGAAGCCGCTTGGTTCACGCTCTCCACGCACACGGAGTCAGATTATGATCGTGAAGGAAAGTGGCCGCCGGAGACCGCAATGTGAGATTCGCATGCCGATAGTTTGTTATGCGTCTCCTCAACCTGCGAGTTAAGCTGAGCATTTCGATTCTGTACGTCCGCGACGGCGTGGGCATAGTCAGCGATCAATCGCTCCCTTTCAGAAATGAGGAGCCCTTGCTGGACCCCCAACTCCCGGGCCGCACCCACACGATGGGCAGGAGCGCTTGTGTCTCGAAATTAGGGATTTGGGGCGCCCGGAGATTCGCAACATGTCCTGTAAGGCTCGAATCCTCCCGGGGTTTGGCGATGTTTTCCGAAAACAAGCGTAAGCCTGTCATGGAGGCGGCAACAGTTAACGTCGCATCCGACGGCCCGTTTTCATCAACAAAGGTGAGCTGCACCTGGATATCGCCATGGTTGCGTACCAAGTCTAACATGTGGGCGCCAGTGTCGGTCCACCGAGTTACCGAGTAAGGGGAAGCACTGTCATTTCTCTCAAACAACTTGCGGGAATCAGGCGCGGCTGTAAAAAAAAAAAAAAAAAAAAATATGACACGGGTCTGCCAGGAACGCGTAGCGTAGCATGAGAAAATTGACGATTTTTGGGTAAAGCTGCAAGGCTTCCAGGAGCTGGGTGCGCTTCTCCAAGATAAATTCATTTTCCAACAACCGAATAAAGAGAGTTGGAAGACGTCATCATCCATCTGCAATGCCGCCGTGGGAGAATTATAGAGATGTTACAGGAAGCGTTGGGATAGAGTAATTGGCTAGGTGAGGGCAGTGCGATGATACGCGTGGTACCAGATATTCGACACACGGAGATGCGGCTGCTGCATCTGCAGCTAGGGTTTTTCTTGTCTTGCAGGAGGAAGCCTGCGGCATTTTCTAAACGAATGGCCTTCGGAGGAGTGCAATCGATTCTCCAGTGAAGGCAGTGCATGGATTGAGAAAAATGGAAAATTTGCGAAGTGGTTTTTTAGTTGGCATGGCGCGATGCGTCAACAAATCTTCCCGTTGCATTGCAAGACATCAATGAATGTAATAGTTACGGTGCCCACATGTGGTAGATGAATTCTTGCCGCACCTTTTTTGAACGGAGTTTATTGGTCCGTTAAAACAATTTTTTCTTGCCCTTCTTGCAGGGATAGACAGGCATCTGTTCTATTTCTCAAGTAATTTGGAGTAAATAAACGGTACACTTATATGTCTATGTGTTTCTGTCCCCTCTGTGGAGGAATTTATTCTTTTATAGCCCACCTGTACTCTTTTGTTGTTGTTACTTTGTTTGTATTGTGATATAATGCAGTATGCAGAAGGATAAAGGGGGAAGAAGGTAGTAAAAGGATGTTGCGCTCCGCATTGTCCGTGACACTTTGTCAAAGTAAATATGTGAAGCGCCGACAGCCACGGCGTGCAACACACCACGCGATGAGTAGTACCAAGTTGGGGAAGGAACGCTTTGACCTGGCCGAGGCTCTTTATCGCGACCGTCAGCGTGTGGAAAATAACCGAACACTGCCGTGGCGTGCACGTATAAAGCAACTTCAGTCGTTTCCGTGGAAATTTTTTTTTGCATTTATGTTGTTTTGGTCATGGCTGGGGACTTATGTGGTGCCTTATGTGAAGGGCATGCACCCACGTGAACTTCCTGCTCTTGGAGAGGGAATACGCATTCCGGAGGAGCTTCAGCAGCGAGCCACACCAATGCCGGCGTTTATGCACAGGGCAAATGATGATAAACTGCACAAGTAAGACGAATCACTTTTTTCCATTTTATTGGACGAATCATGCTGCACGCTATCACGTGTAATATTTGTCTTTTTTGGAGAGACACAACAGACGATGCATTGCCTCTTGGTTATCGTTTTTTTGCTATTTACTCTTATTCTGTGTCTTTGTGTGTGTTTCTGATTGGTGACATGAGAGTGATGGAAGCGTCACTATTGGACGTTTTCTATTAAACTCCGTCACTATAAACCGAAATTGGCGCCTTCATTACATTAATTTGCAACGCCATGGATGTCTTGGCAAGACGGACGCCTTTATCTCAGCGGTATGAATCTTATCACCAGCGTTTTCACGGACACCATTCAACATGTACCCTTGGGGAATGAGAAGCTTTGACGCAGGCGTTACTTTTTTCCACTTTACTTTTTTTCCCGTTTTTCTGTCATGGGTGGTGAAAGTGTCGTATTTTGACGGGATTTAATGACACAAACTAGGAAGAACGGTTGCTGCCAATGATGGGTGTGTGCTCCACGCAAAATGAGTTATTTGACTCTCTGATGTGCCTCGGACACCTTCTCTCGCTGTGTGAGGGGTGCCGGAAGTCACATGTCCTAAAAATTCGGAATAATTTAACTAAACATTATTATTTTTTTTTTCGGGAGCCGTGTGACCACGTGCTTCTTCACACAGTGCTGTTTTCCTCTTGATATTGTGTGCCTCACTTCAAACCGTTTCCTCTTACTGTGTTTTTCTGTATGCCTTCAGTCGTGTGGAAGGGGTGCAAAGAACTGGTCTATTGCTGCTTTCATCGTATCATACACAAAAGATTTTCCTGACAAAGCGGTGGACATTTGCCGTTGTGGGCCAAATGACATAATTTCTGCCCTTTGTGAATTGCGCGACGTGCTGGCGATTGGGGACCCACGCGTGTGATTTGACTTTCGAATAAATTTGACACACAAAGACACCTCTAGCGCGTTCTGGAACTTCTGAATGACTGGATGGTTCTGGACAGCACTGCGATATTTTCGCAATGCGGGGAAAAAACTACCAACAAAAGAGCCTGAAAACTTCTTTTTTCTTTTGCTCACGTCTGCTCACGTCTGCTCCATTGGTTAAATACGCCATGACCTGAAGCAGGAGAATATCTTTCTTTGCCAGAAGAAGATGTCTACAAGTATAGATATGCCATACGTTTTGGGCGTATACGGCACTTATATGATATCGACAACGAAATTACATTACTGGAATGCCCGAGGAACACTGATTTACATTGGAATCGAGAAAGTCAATGTGGGTTACTACGGCGCCCAGAGCGAACTCCATGACGTCAAGTGCGATGCATGGTCGTTGGGAGCGATGCCACACATTCTTCTAGGCGGTCGGGTACCCTTTGGTGGGGCTCCTCTAAAAGGGAAGCAGTCCAGCGCATTGTGTCTAACACTTTGGGCCTCTTTGGAGGCAGTTGGAGAAACATATATTGCTGAGTGCCGTGGCAAATGTCAAGGCATGCGGAACACTTGATCCGCAAAACCAGCTTTTGCGTAGGATCCACGTAACCATGCATGGGTAGAAGGTGTGCCATCAAACGCCCTTGTAGCGGAAGGGCAGGAGGCGCTTCATTATTTGAATAGTCAAGCAACGTCACTTGCCGCGTTACGTTTGCTCCGTGCAAGGAGTTCTCTTTTGAGGCATTGTGGTTCTAACCCATCGTCTGGGGAAGTGCCCTGCGTCACCCGGACAGGATTGTGGCTGTCATTGGGACGCAGTTGCAGACGTATCGCGCGATGGTGCAATGACACGGGCTTTGGAAGAGCTTTTTGCCGTCCAGCAGAGTGGCGCTTGCGACGTTGCTGTGCATGGCTTACTGGATTGTCCTCCTGTCACATCCAGGATGTGTGTGAGCTTCTTTTTTGTTGGCAGGCGCAGCATGGATGTCGGTTTCTTTTTTGGGTGATTGAGAGCCTCCCGGAGCCGGAGGCGGCGCAAGGTCTGAAAGAGCCGCCAAACAGTAATAAGTACGTTTAGCAGCGGCTTGCGAAGGCGTTTGGAGTGATTGATGCGGCGCATACGTTTACTGTTGCACTTGCAGCCAAACTCAGCAATGAGCATAGACCCAATGTTATGCCTACTCTGTCAGATAGGCCGACCAAAAATTATTCCCGGCAACCCTCGCTATACCCACCGAGGCTCCCGGCAGGGCTGATGAACCGTTTGGGGGTTGTCAGAAGCTCTTCTAATGTTACTCTACAGCCAACAAAAGTTTCACCCACACCAAAACGGCACAAAAGGGCATACACCGAGACACACGACCGAGGTCCGCTACAGCCCATACTTTATGAATCTTTATCTCATGAGTATTTTGTATTGCTTTCTTACATCATGGACAAAATGTCGGCGGGCTATGGAAAGCGACGTTCTTGACAAACGACCCCTATTTTGCACGGCTGGACATTGCTGTGCGTTGAGTAGCGGTGCTCCCACATACGCATCTCACGATGCCGTTGGCGTGGTGCTCGAAGCAGGAATTGGCTGTGCCACATATATATATATATATATATATATATATGCTACGCGTGTTTTATTATTATTGTTTTTAATGTGCTCAAACACCTTTTTTCGTCACTTTTGTTGCACAGAGACACACAGTTTGCCGTTGTGGATTGCTTTGTGGTTTGTATGTATTTTTTATATTTTGTGCTTTTTGGAGTTGTATTTTTGCGCGGTGGAGCATACATGCAGGGGATGCGTGTGTCTGAAGGGCAGGGAGTTTGCCGCATTTCCCACGTAGCAGTGTGAGTATACTTGCAGAGAAGACTCTTACGGCCATGCATTGTTCTTGTCAGTCCTTATTTGCAGTCCTATTTTCTTGTTTAAATTTGTGGCAGCCTTTACAGTGTTCAGTTATAATTAGGGTGTGAAAAGAGAAATGCCTTGCAGCGGGTTTCCTGCCGCCAAAGGGCGTACTTTTTTTTTACCTTTTCTGTGGTGCTGGGTCTGCGGCATTGAAAAGTTCGTGTCTCCGCTCTCTTTTGCTCATGAGGTGGTGTGTTGACGACGCACGTGTCGAACCATGGCACAGCGGGGCTCTCTGTAGCTGGTGGTGTCTTCACAATCTTTTTTTAATGTTGTTTTAAGCGGCACCATTTGTTTGCGTTCCAATGCGGGGGGCGATGGGGATTCCGGAACATCTGCTTTTGGTGGCAATGTGTACATGCCATTTGAACTCGTGAGATGGTTTTGGGAGACCTGATGCTGTGGTGGCGTGGGCGTTTTGTCGTCCAGTTGTGTTTGTGTTTTCCTACGTATCCACCGGCGGAATTGCAGCACGGGGTGTGGGCGTGTCAACCCCGTAGGCCTCAACGGGGAGCACACACACGGACACACACAGTTTATCTTTGTAGACACTGCCTGAGGACGTGATTGCCACGGGGCGGTGGTGGTGGCGCCACACCTACCCACGCCACGTTTGGCATGACTGTTTGTGTGGAGGCTGACAATGGGCACCGCATACTGTTACTGCCACTCCCATAATCGATGTGTCTTTTGTCCCATGCTGCTCTTGTTACTTTCGTAGGAGAACTTTTCACCACTTCCCAGCTCTCAATATCCACAATGCGCTCTTCTGCATCTCTCGCCGCGCTTTTCAGAGCATTGAGCAAGCACTACTGCCAGGTGCTGCTCTGGACTGCTGTTGTGTTGTTGATTCTGCTTAATTTTGTTTCATTGACGATGGACACAAATGTGTGGCAGGTTCCCTCCATCCCTGTGTACTGCAGCGCGTTTGCACCCTCTCCAACGCGGGAGCCAAGGGTTGCTCTTATTGTTGTTCATACGGGCTACTCTCCCGGCTGGTGCAGGATGCAGGTGAGCTCCATTCTTTCCCGCGTGTCTGTAACAACGATTGGCATGGGGGCGAATTACACACACACATCCCGCCCGTCGTTGCTGCTGGACTGCATAACTGACGAGGGCCTGCGCGATGAGGACGTGGTGGTGGTGTTCGATGGTGGCGACACGATGTTCACCGGACCCCTTGGGATAAAGCAGGCCGTGGAGGACTTTGTGGCAACAACAGCGCCCACCGCAGACGCCTTCAACGCCACGGCGGTGCATCGAGGTGAGGCAACAGCCCCCTTGTTGTTTGAGAGTGACCCGGTCTGTTATGCGCCACAGATGGAACTCATGGTCCCATGGGGGCCTCAAGAAAACTTTGCGAAATGCGGTTGGTACTACGAACGTGTATGGGAGGCCGCCAAGTCCTCTGCGGATCAGCGCATGGTGCGTTTTCTGGCGTCGGGGTACCGATTTCTCGCTGGTGGAGGAATGGTGGGGCGTGTGTGGGCTTTTCGAGAGGCGTACAAAGCATATGCGAGCCTTTTGGCGACGAGTGATAAATGGTGGTGTGACCAGAGCATCTGGTCGCTTTTGCATGTGTGGAGCGTGACCCGGGACACGAATGTGACTGCCGATTTCCGCATACGATATGGTCTTCTGAGTCTTGACTACAACAACACTTTCTTTCTCACACCGCGTTCCGGGGCCTTTGGGTCCCCGGCGTTGTATCATTTTCCTGGGCCCCCTTACTTGTGGGACAAAATGCCTACACTGCTGAACCGCACAACGTGGGTGGACTGGCTGCGTTATTCTCCTGACGTCATGAATGAGACCAGGGATTTTGTGCAGAATGCTACTGTGAAAATATACGACGCTGATCGGAAGGCAAAAACGATTCCTTTTCCTGAAGTCTGCTCGTTGAACGACGTTCTCAATCCTGAATGGTTGGCCCTTCAGCTTAGTAAATAATTTTTTGCAGTGGCCATGCTTGGTGTGGTCCGCACAATAACACTGTGTACGCGATGTACCTTGATGTATTGAACAGCTTGTGGAAGGATTGCGTCCGATGGTGCAACCCTTTCTATTATCCCCTATTTAATTGGAATGCCTTAATTTTGCTCTTTTTGGTTTCTCTCCGGTGGATTGCGGATGCGTCGTCGTTGAGCCGCGTTGGAGGGCGAGACAAT